TGTCTGTATTGTAACCATTCCTAATTGTTGTAAGAAGATCAGGATCTGTAAAGATCTGTATAACTGTCCCTCCTAAGGCTTTCTAAGTAGGACTTCTGTTTTCTAGGTTAGAGTCAAAGTCTGAGTAGTAGGAAAGTGTATCTGTGACTGTATTCTCCTCTCCCTTAATGTAATGTAATTTGTAGTCATACTAGAAGAGGTCCTCCATCTACCAGGCTTGTCTTCTAGACAGATCCTACTATGTATCCAAGTATTTGAGAGTATAATAATTAGTATAAACATAGAAATGTACTCTAAGGAGGTAAACCTACTATTTCTTAAGTGTGTAGACAATTGTAAGGAGTTCCTACTTGTGTACTAGGTAGTTACACTGTGTACTATTACATTACTTAGACTCAAATGCTACAAGTCTTACAGTTTTCTATAAGGATCCAACACTAAGAACTGCTCCAGTCCTAGAGTCACTCACATTTGTAGTTACATAGATTTGCTCACCTAAGTCATAGTTTACAGAGGTGAGGCACTCTCTACTAGTAACAATTGACTTGATAGTTTTGAAGGACTACTAATGTTCTGGTTTCTATTCTGGAAAAACCTTATTACAATCCTTACTTGTAAACAGGGAAAGAACTACTATGTACTCTGTTAAGTATAGAAGGTATACTATAATATAGTATAACAGTCTGAGAAACTTGTAAACATTCTTTACTCTCTAGGGCTATAGCTATTGTAGAATATACTTAACCTTGTCTGAGTCTGCTTCTGTCTCCTTTACAGTAATCAGGTACTTAATAAACTTAACCTTTATATAGAATAGCTTAGTCTTTTTCTGTAAACAGATGAGCCCTTTGTTACAGAGTACTTGTATGACCTTTCTAATATTCCTAATATGTTCTGCCTCAGACTCTGACCAGATGATAATGTCATCCAAGTAGACATAACAAATTTTCCTGATAAAATACTCTAGTACTCTTGTAACCTACTATTATTGTATAGCTAGCATATTGTATAACCTTATTAGTATGACTGTCTATTTATACAACCTGAACAGAGTACTAATTACAGTGAGCAGAATATGTTCTGAGTTCATATGTGTTTGGAAGAATACATTAGTCATATTAATCTTAGCATATATGTGTTCTTAGATAGTATTATTTATAATCTTATTAATGTAGGGAAGTAGGGTACAATTGTAGATTGTGTTACTGTTTAGTACCTAATAATCACATACTATTTATAGAAGATCTGTAGAATCTACCTTCAGGATGAGAAACACAGGTGATGTGTACAGGCTTTCTAACCTGTACAAATAACCTGTCTAAGTATACTAATTAATGAGTATACACTAAGCTTCCTAGTATTTTTACAGACAAGTATAAGATTGTACAGTCACTACCTTAGAGGGATTCTTAAACTGTATTTTATGAGTGACACCTTTAGGAAGCTCTACAACTGGTAGTATAGTGTCTGGGAAGCAGTCCTAATACTGTTACTTTAGTTCCCTATCTAATATCTTAAATCTCTCTAACTTAGCTAGGGTTTCTATACACTCTTAGACAGTTGTAATTAAAGTTAGTATAGGCTCTAGGGTTCTGTAAGCTGGCTGTAGGACACAAACTGGTTCTACAATTTCTGCTTTCATCAGATTATAGTTAGAATCCTTTAGGATAACTGTCTGACTTTCTATGTTAATAATAATCTAATTCTTCTAGAGAAAGAGTATACTAAGAATCATTTCATTATACAAGTTATTAACTACACAAGCTTTTACAATCTTTAATGTCCATTTCTGATCTACTAACTACACTTATAACTTTACCTACTCTATAATATGTTTCCCTAACTCTTTTACTGATTTGATTACTAGAGTCATAATAATGTGTTTCTTAAGTAGAAATTACTTAAGGCACATCTAAGACACTAGTTTCTCATTAATCAGAACTGTAGAACAACTAGAGTCAATTATAGGTTGGATCCAGATTAGAGTAGAACTGTCTTCTGTAAGGATACAGTAGTCTGGAAATAGGAGGGAGTCAGAAATTAGGACATACTCAGATTTGTCTCTACTTGTAAGTTCTAGCACTATAGACTGCTCTGTTTGTACAAGAGTAGTAGACTTCTGCTTCAAACATAAGGACTCAATATATACTTTTGTAATAGAGACTATGTCTTCTAGTTTAGGCAGACCTGTTAAGTAACTGTCCTCCTTATAATCTATAACAGGTTTACAGTATTAGAAATATTCCTAGTTCTTTATTAGAAGCTAGTACTCTGTATAGAACAAACTAATACACTTTATAGTACTTCCTAAAGTAGTCTTTAGACTGACTGTTGTAAAGATAACATTTTCTATGTACTACTTCTCCTGATCCTTCTTCCAGGCCTGTTCTACTGTAAGTATTACTTTTACACTGTTACAAACTTTTGTACAGTCTACCTCTAACTGTTCTGCCAGTTTATACACATGTTTTAACTACTTACAGAGTCTAGCACAATCTGTTACTTCTTTTCCCAGGACTGGTTCTAGGGTTGGGAGGTAATCTGTAGGATTAGGAATCTAGCTATTTACTAAGGTTACTATATACAACCTTTTTATATACATTATAAGCTACTCAGAATGTGTTAAGACTAAATTTACAAGTGTAAGACAAAGCTTAAACTAGAGGTTTGAGTATAGGTTAGCTTTGAGAAGTTTGTAAAGTCTATCAGGATTGAGGCACTAATCTTCTAGAAGACTAAAGTTGATCCTAGTAACCTATAGCTGTCATTCCTAGAAGTTGTAACTATCTTACTGTGTTACTAGTAGCTTGTTCTAGGTTTGTACTACCTAGTCTATAAAGAGTATTTTACACTAAAGCTCCTAATAGAATGTGTCTAGTGTAAGCCCTTCAAGCCTAGGCTAGTCATACTTACACTACTAGTATAGTCTACTGTCCTATAAACATCCTATTACAACTACAACTATATAAGTTATAAGGACAGATTTGGTAAACATATACCTGTAAAACACAGAGATTTATAACTAGAGAGTGTATAGTGTCAGGTTGTTTAGGGTCAGTATTAGAAGCTTTATTGTACTTTCTCAGACCACCTGAACTTTATTAGATATAGTATAGGACATTGTAGCCTTCTAATAGTTCAGGGTGAGTAGCTTACTAGTGTTACTTTCTAGTTCTGAGAGGTCTAAGCTACTTACTAAATTCAAACTTAGGGTTACTGTAGATAGTAGTAGTGTAAGAGAAGTAAATACAGCTTCTCTAGTTAATAGAGAGGCAACTGTAATAGCTTCCAAAGATACCTAGTGTTAGGGGAAACAAGACCTGATTATATACAGTTAGGAAGAGAGCTAAACTTGCTTTAAAATTATAGTAGTGTGTTCAGGAGGGCTAGAGAGTCTTACTAACAGTAGGGAGTGTTTAGGAAGGCTAGAGGAACCTTACTAATAGTAGGAGACGTTTAGGAAGGTTAAGGGAACCTTACTAACATATAGTACAATAAAGACTACTTTGTTAATGTTTAAAAAAAAGTAGAACAGTACTAGGGAAGTACTAAACACTGTTACAAACAAGTTCTGTTGAGTTCTAAGTTTGTTAACACACACAGAACACTAACAGGACAAAGGTATCTTTGTTACAGTTAGGAATAAGAACTAGTACAATAAAGGTGAAAGATAGAAACTATATATACTAGAAATGAAACAAAGGTAGCTCATACCTAAAGGGGAAAACAATACAAAAGATAAAAAGGGGAGTGTATGTACCTAAGAATGAAGGGTATGTGACTCAGACAATAGGGAAACATAGTGTGAAGACAAAAGAGGAAATGTGTATGACTCTAGAGTCTACACTAAGAAGGTTTAGGCTTAGGAGAAGGTCTGGGTTCAGAAATGTAGTTCTGCACTAGGAGAGGTATAGAACAGTACAGAAACTGTTGTAAACTGTAGGGTAGACTTACAAAATTAAAGTAAAAGAATTTTTACTTAACTACTTAAATATTAATCCAAATAGTAGAAACCTTGTAAAAGAGCTTCTAACTTATAAGGTCAGGTCTTAACTGTATAAACATTTGAATATATAGACTCATATTTACATTTGTTCTTTTAGTAGTTTAAATATTATAATAACAAGAATATGAATCATAATACAATAAAAAAAATAAAAGGCTGGTCTGACTATACTAATTGTAGCAAATAAGTTTGCTAAAGGTAGAAGGCAAATTACAGAGGGTAAGGCTAAAAAATAAGATAGTTAGCATGTCTTTCTTTAGAAATTAGACTAGAAATACTAGTATTAACTCTTGTCACAAAACAGAGACATAAAGGTAAAAAGCTAATTAGAATAAAGGCAGAAGTAAAAAGTAGAGAAGATTGAAATATTAAGGTGACAAAATAATAAGAAATTATAAGTGATTTTCTAATTACAAGTAATATAAAGAACTAGTTCTTATAACTTGAAATACTTATGTGTAACTAACCTGTAAATATATACATGTGTAGCTAGTACCTAGTGTACTTTTTACATTAGATGACTAGTAAACTCAGTTACAATTTGCATAGTTACAGAATATATTATAAGATTGTACCAGAAACAATAGGTTGTATTAAGTCTTCTAAACAGTTAACAAGTATCACAAGATCACTCATACTGTATTAACTGTACATTCAGTATGTTGATAGAATGATCTCACAGATAACACTATACACTCTCAGAAAGTATTAAATTTTTGTAAAAGCATACTAGATGCCCTGTTTAAGAGGGTTTTACATAGCAAAGGAGATAATCTATCACTTAACAATCACTAGACACATTTGGAGGTGGTACATGCAAAGTAACTAAGATTGAACCTCACTTTGAGTACATTGCATTCTTTATAGACATTTAAACCAGCACACCTTGGTTGGTATATTACAAATATTACCTCACTACTCTCAAGTCATTCATTTATATTGTATTAAGAGCCATACACCAGCTCCCTTCCGCATTTACTAGTCAGCTGGGACTATGTCAAAATTGCAGCAAAAGCTGAGTCTTTTACAATGCTTAGAACCTCTGTTTCAAGATGAACCAAATGGCTCAGAGTTCAGCCCCAAGTGGTCGTTGGAGAAGGATAGTGAAGGTAAAACTATAATGCGTGAATTGAAAGTCAAGAACAAGCTGAATGTGGGGGCTTTTGCCGTTGCATGGGTACGTACTCTGGGATGGCCCTCACTCGTTTCAGAGCAGTGACCGAAGAGACGAAATTAAATTGAATCTTTAATAGGTGATAGAACGTGATGACCTTAGAGAAGATAAACCTGTAGAATTTGTTGCCAAAGTTATCAATAAATGGAAGGGGCCCCAAGATAAGGCAAAGAGAACATTAAAGAAATATAAAGAAATGGAGGAATGCACAATTAGGGAGGCGAAGCTGTTGGTAAATCTGAGGCATAAGCATGTGGTACGTCAACTATTTCCTGTAGGGTGCATATAGTATAACATGATAAGCGATTTGAAGATACGGTGCTACGGAGCATTTGTGAACCTCGACTCCTGGGTAATCGTTCTCGAATACGCTCGGGGAGGTGATCTGACCGAGCGGCTCGTCAGTATGAATGATATCTCCGATTATATTGCAGCAAATTATATAAGGTGCACATTTTGTCCTATGCTCTTTACAATCATATCATGTCTTATTTGAATAAAATTTATTCAAAGGCAGATGATTGACGCTATAGCGTACCTTCATTCAAAGAAAATAATGCACAGAGACATAAAGTAAGATACAAATACAAATTGATTCTTTAAAAGGCAACAGTTTACAACTCACTCCTCAGACCACACAACTTCCTTATTAAAGGTGCATGCAATCATACGAATTATATTGAAGACAGACTACTACTCAGCGACTTCGGATTGTAAGTATGACCTCCCCCATTCTTTGAGACTTTTGTAATACGTCTTCCCAGTGCAACTTACAGTGAAAAAAATGCCGAAGTAAGAATATGTGGGTCACCGCTCTATTTGGCCCCAGAAATCTACAGACTGTCACCGGGCGAAACATACACAAACATGGTGGACATCTGGTCTCTCGGGTATACATTCCTCTTTGCATTCATTGAATTGGTGCAAACTTAATTCCTTAGAGCAGTAGCATGCGTGATTTTAACCGGGCATTCCATTTATGGCGATAATGAAAATATGGTGTACCATGTACTGCAGACTATCGACAATAACGATATTAGGCGCAAACTGAACTTTTTTGCTCTAACTCCTAAAGGTGAGCTAGAATAGACTAACTTCAAATAGGAGACAAGTTTCTAACGATCTAATGTGAAAAAATTTAAGCGAGAGAATTTTTGCTGGCCTGCTTGAACATTAATCCAGGTAGTAGAAAGTCTGCAAAACGGCTTCTAAAACATAAGGTTAGACTTTAAGTGTATAGGCACTCGAAGTACATACTTATGCTTATGTTCATGCTTTTTTAGTGGTTCGACTATTGTGATGACAAGTATCTGGATCATAATGCAATGAAAAAATGGAGGGCAGGCTTGATAGCACTGAAAGCAGTAGATAGGTTTACCATGTCTGGAAAACAAATTAGGCAAGGCAAGACCAATAAATCAACTAGCATATCTTCCTCCCTCCAGAGATTAGATCTGAAGTAGTATCAGATTCTACTAAGGGATGGAAATATAGCAGCAAATAGAATGGATCAAAGATTGCAGCAGAGTTTAAAAAAAAGGGAGGGGGGTGCAGGCAGATGAACATTGGAATGGCTGTAATAACAATAAAAGCTGTTTTCAATACAAATTAGAATGAAAACTTAGCTTTCAGAAAAATTTATGACTGTAAAAACGTCGATAATACTTGAAGGGGACCCATCTTAAATAAAAATGTAAAAAAGATGTTTGTGTAGTATACATATTTATATTCGATCAACAGGCATTTGTCGAGCAAAATGTCGACAAACTGGTCCAATGAACTCAACAAATAAAGTTACAAAATACTCATGTCTGAAAGCCTTCCTTCCTATTACATTTCCGTCTTCTCGCTCATATTTTCCTAAGCTACACTAAAATGACCTCAAGGAAATTTGTGGCTTCGCGTTCCCTTGCATCGCACCGGCCCCACCTTTCGTACCACCAATAGCTTGTCTAACAGAAACCTCTAACCGCTCTTTCATACCTCCATCCACCTCATCCATTTTCGACATGGCGTCTTTGAACGCTCCCGGAGCGAGAGTGGCGAGTGAGAGGATTTGCGTTACGGCGAGGTTGTGCATGAGTATTGTGGATGAAGGTGTGGAGGTGGAAGAAGAGGAGGAAGAGGATTTTGATGGGTCGAGAAGGAGGGCGAGAGTTGGGAGTAATACACCTAGTGTGCGTGCGCCTGGAGATGAATTTCAGTAGCGAAGGTGAGAAAAGTACAGACAAGACCAGGAGGACGAGAAAGACGGAGAGGAATCAGGGAAAGGGACGGAGAGAGCATAAAACGGGACTTACGAAATTCATCAGGCGTTGCTGAAAAGAACGCCGAGAAAGCCTTCAAAATCTCATCAACACCCTTCACATGCGTCTCTTGTGCAGGTCCATCAACAGCCAACGACGCAACGAACGCGATATACTCAATCATCCCCGGTAACAATAATTTCATACAATGTTTCAGCAGCACGTTGCCCGACGTCCCAGCCAGCACGATCGTCTTTGTGCAATGCGCAGCAGTGAGTGAAACCTCTTTCTCCAGTAATTTCTGAGATATCAAGGAACAGCAATACTCTAGTGCTGCTTCGCTGAACCCAACGTACGGCGGGACGACTGTGAGGATGAGGACGGCAGCGAGGAGGTTATTTGTAACTTTCATTGTCGATATTGCTCCTTGTCGGCCCCTACCCACACGAAAGAATAGTTCCAGAGTTAAAACAAAGGATTGTATGAATCAATGAAGGCTATTCTATCGACAAGGAGAATGGGACATACCGCATCTCATCAATATTCACCAGACAAGCCGAGAACAACCCATGCACTAAACGTGAATACCTCGTTAACGCATCCGTTTGAAGTTTACTTGGAGAGTTATCGAGCATAGCTTTTAATGATTGTAGTGTTGGACCGGCCATGTCAATATCTGATTTCTCCTCTTTCAAGAGCTCTGCATAGATCGCAATTCCGACTACTCTCATGTCCTCACGTAAGCCTGGACCGAACGCCTCGGCGACAGCAGAGAAAGCAGCGAATGCAGCACGGATCAGAGTAACTCGATCCGCTGCAGAATCAGATGCGACTGTAGAAAAAGCGCAATCACATCAGCGATTGACAAATATCAACTGTAACGTTTCGTAAAGGGTACTGACAAGCACGAATTCCACCTGGTCCTGAGATAGAGTTCCGCAGCACGTACGCGCAGATCCTAAAGCAATGCATTAGAGGTGAGTCTGGTAGTGTCGAACCGCTGGTTTGGCCATTACTTATTTTTTGAATTAAAGAGAAGAGAAGTTCAGTATGTTACTTTAGACGGATTATCAAAAATATATAACACCACTCACACATCCCTCCCACTTCCAGCCAACATACTCTCCTTCTGGGACGTTGCGAAAACAGCCACAGCTTCTACAAGGTGCGTCTGTACAGCCGCACTCTCCGTCATCGCCATCCGATAACACAAACTTGTGAATTCATCGAAAATCGTGCTCTCTAACAACGCCTTTCCCGAGTACTCAGGTTTCACGAGACTCTTAAGCGCTTCTAGGGCGATGATGGCGTTTTGCCGGACTGTAGGAGAGGGCGTGGCGTCTGCGGAGGAAGTTGCGAGCGCTTCGTAGATTAGACCGAAGATGGCGAAGAAAAGCGCTGTGGGTTCTTCTCGAGATGAGGAGCTATTACTTTGGATGAGAGTGGGTGGGTTGTCTTTGTTGTTAAGGTCGGTTGACTCGAGACCGTCCATTGCTGCGAGAATATAGGGATCGCCGACCTTCATCGCAGTTGCTACAGCGTGCAAGATGATAGACCAGGACTTCTCATAATACTAAAAACACATATGCCACAACTTCAATATCATTGTAGTCAATATAGATAGATTCTTTGGGCTTACCGGAAGTAATACCTCCCTCCCCAAACTCGCATACGGCGCATCAATCGTCGCCGTCACACTATCCTGGAACACCTCAGAATCACCCTTAACACTCGCATAATCCCGTAACGCCGCAACCCAAAGAACACCCAAAATCGCTCGGTACGGCCCAACGACGTCTTTCAAGTAACTCTGCTGAATACTAGCAACTTCCAACTCTGCCCAAGCGGAAAGCGTAGAAATACGGAGCATGACAGAGGCGTTTGGACTAAGTTCACCTGCTTCGCCGAGAGATAGCATCCCAGATTCTTTCGACTGTTCCAACGCAGAAGTCAAAAGCTTCAAAATCCTCCCCATTCGACTAACATCCCTAACAATCCCACTCCCCACGAACGCCGCACAAACCTGTACCGCAGACGCTAATATCTCCGGAGTCGAATCCGCCGAGAACGCAGGTGTCAACGCAGCAGTTATCGGTGCTTGATACTGTTCAAGTAATAGAGAGCCTTCGTAATCTGGGTCGGGAGACTTTGCGAATACCTAAGAAAATAGAAAAAAATTAAAAAGATGAAAGAGAGTTAATTTATGTTTTTTTTTTTTGGTGAATGAAGAAAGGATGTGCTGAGTAGTGATATGATTGTATCGTACCTCGATTACGTCGCGTAGGAGGACGAGACCTTCGAGTCGGATTTCGGTTACGTATGCTGCACTCGCCGTAAACGCCATCTTGATCAAATCCGGAACCCTTGACACAAGTAAACTCGACAACACCAACTTCTGACTCCTAGCAAATCGAATATCGAGGTGTTCGCGTCGACCGGAACGTGCAACGATAGTACATATACTATGTAAACACCTCAACGCAAAGAGTTGAGTCCGCCAACGGGACGTAAGGTTCCCTTTACTCGAGTCCGCTGAATCTTGCGAGATACCAACGCTGAGAGACTGTCCTTCATCATCCGCTAGCCCACCACCTCCCATGGCATTTTTAGACGACGGGTCCGAGGAAGAAGAAGCTTGTTGCGAAGCAGTCGTCCTCGACATAATCCTCTGACACAAATCAATCCACGCAGAAGGGTTATACACAACAGTCTGCTCAAGCCAACTCGTAATCACACTCCTCACACCATCAATCGACGCATCCTTATCCAACATCCCAAATAACTCTTCCACAAGCTTATCTCCTCCCAACTTCGACATCGCCAACGCGTCCTTTTGAACGAGTTGATAGAGCGCGTTGATCGCTGCGAATTTGAGTGGTCTTCGTGAAGAGGAGAGGTGTGCGCGGAGTTCGTTGACGAGTTGATTGATGTCGACGTCAGAAGAAGCGGCGAACATTAGGAGATGTTGGATGCATTTGATAGCTTCTACACAAACCCCTCCATCCGGTTCGCTTGCGAGCTCATGCGTGATGTTCATCACGAGTCCCCTCATCCTATTACTCTCCTGAATATCCGGTCCCAAAACCGCTACGACCGCGTCGACGAGTTGACAGATAACTTGATATACGGGATGTCCACCCTTTAAGTTCGCGTTGCCCGGTGTACCGCCGTCGGAATCGTGTGATTCGCTTAAGTACAACTTGAATAGCATACCAAGCGTACTAGGTACGTAAGGCGCATACGCCAAGCTCGCAGCGTTAATCACCTGCGCCAGAGCACACAAGGACCAAAAATGAACTACCGGGTGGGGGTCGTTACCCAAAGACATGAGTACATTGATAGTAGTTTTGAGTAAGGGACCTGCGGCGAGTCCGCCTACGTGTGTGTATATTGCTCCAAAGGCTAGTGCACAGCCTGCTCGGGCGTAAGGGTCACGGTTGTTGACTACTTGGTCGACTAGGGTTTTGACTTGGGATGTGAGGAAGGTTGTGGAGGAAAGGGAGGCGAGACGGCCGAGGGCTTCGCTGGATGCGAGGCGGAGGATTGGGTCGCCGCTTATCAAGGCTTCCTACATATCCCAGGTAAATAAATAAATAAATATACGAAAATAAAGTTGAGAAGGGTAAAGAAGACGTACCATTAGAAACGAGGAGAGGTTATTCGCGATCTGCGTACCCCCCAACGTATCCTTACACGTCCTCGCATAACTCGTCGTAGCAATCCTCAACGCCAACGCAATTGCAACAGTAGTATTCACCACAACAGCTGCCTTCCTTCCTGCGTTCTTCTCCAACTTCTGTGAACGTGTCGACTCGAGCGCTTCGTTAATTACTCGTCCACAGGAAGATGAATCCTGTAAGGGTAAGAGAGCAGCGAAGAGCTCTATAGCAGCGTCGACGACGGCTGTTGCAGGCGGAGGAGGTTCTGGCCATTCGTTCTCTGCTATTAACGCTGATTGGGCTTGGCAGAGGAGGAGAGGGTCGTGTTCGCAGGACCCGATTACCGGTTGCGTAATCTATAATAAGGAAAGAAAAGCAAGAAAGAAAAGGCACCATTCCACGTGAGAGATTAACCCATTTTAACTTTTCGGTTTTAAGTGACTTACCAGATCGTCGATCTTCGCTTCGATAGAATCCCTATTCAGCCGATCCCGTTGTCCGGGTAAGTCACTTGCACCCAACAACGCTGCGTCTCCGTCACTCTCGACTCTTAACGTCGTAACGCCGTATGCATACCCGTCTGTTGTGTTCCATAAACTGGTGAAGTTCCCTGCGGAAGCTATTGCTGCTTGTAATGCCGAGCCGGAGTATCCTTCTGGACTTGAGAAGAGTGAAGTCGTGGATTGGAGGAGAGCTGTTTGTGTTGCGTCGGGTAAACCCGCGCAACCGAGTTCCGTGAAACATTGATATACGCGTCGACGGAGTAATGCTTCTCTCGCGGCTGCGAGTGCGCTAGCAGCGTCGGGTGCACCCAGCGCACCACCCCCACTCTGCGGCGCACCAGCCACCGCACTCCCCAACCCCTGTGCACCAACGAAAGCATTCGCAAGTGACAGAGCGTTTCCAAGCAACCCCGCCAACCGCCTCGCAACATCCCTCGTCCCCAGCGCACGAGCATTATGTCTAAGAAACGCACGTACAGCACCAAGCGCACACGCACGAACATGTAACAAAAACGCCCACTCCGCCGAGTCACGCGCAAGGGAATTATCTTTCGTCGTCGGTTTCGGTAAGGCATTCCTCCAAAGCACAAGAAGTTGCGGTAAATGCGCACGGACGAAGGAAGGTCCTAGAGCCATAAGAGCTGCGATTGTCGTCCAAGCAGCTTCTACTTCTACTGTTGCTACGTGCATGTCGTGTTCACCTGCACGTCTGAGGAGTTGAGTTGCAGTGTCGAAAACTTTTGCGCTGAGGTCTGCGGAGACGTAGAGTGGTCGTTCGGGGATGACGGCGAAGAGTGCGCCGAGGCCGTATGCGTGGCCTATTGCTCGTGCGGAGATGTCGGAGGGTGCAGCGGGCGTGGAGAGAGTTGACATGTCGCGTTGGAGGAGCTCGAGTACGCTTAGGACGATTTTTGGGATGCGCAAGGGGGTAGCGAAGCAGAAGCTTCGTAACGCCCATGCAGCGCTGACTCGGGTACTCTGCGAAGGATGACTGAGAAGCGTGACGAGTGGGTCTGCAAGGGCGTCCTGAACGGGTGGAGGTGCGTTTCCAAGCTGTTGGACAAGTCCTGCGACTTCTTTCAGTGCAATGACGAGCACCGAAGCGTCTGGAGCGACTTGTCCAGGCATCAACGCAGGCCATTTCTTCAAGTAGCTGCGTGAAAGTTCTTGAATCGCACTGATTTGACCTTGTTCGCTGAGTAGACGAACGCCGATGAGGTCTCGTAGGATGGTGCCGACGAGTTTGTTGATGAGTAACGAATCGTCTCGTCCACCGGGTGGACGAGGTGCGTTAAGCACCTCCGTGAAGAAGTGCTTTACGATTGTCGCGTAGTTTGCTTCTACGAAACTCGTACCGAGCGTCGCGATCAACGCAGCATAAAAATCGAAAATCCCAATCCTCGTCTTTCTCGATGCAGTGGACTTGTTGAAATGTGTCGAAAGCTGGGAGAACATCTCTGCTGGAGATAAGATCGGCTTTACGGCAGATTCGACTGCGAGAGCGCTTGGAGGAGCGATGTCTGCATCTGCGTCGTCCCCGTTCTTTTGGTCTTTCTTGCCTTTCTTTGAGGTGTCGACGGGTGGAACGGCACGTGGAGTCTGAGTCGAAGCGAGCATGTGTCCAACGAGACGGGAGAGCGCACGACGCGTTGCTTGGTCTGCGTTCTCGAGACTTTTTACACATGCGGTGACGATGGATTCGACGTCTGATACGGTGCGTGTACCGTCGCCCGTTGGGTATAATACGATCAATATCTATGCGCAGATATTTAGTCAAGATCTAAGATGGAGTGAGGGAGGTTCACTGACTTCTGCTGCAGCGCGCTGAATAGGTAAAGCCTTGTCATTGAGCGCTTGCCTGGACTGTTTGATGACATCTTTCATTGTTGATTCTGGTACTGCCCTTCCGGCGGTCATGAGTGCTTTACGGAGCGCTGTCAATGCGTGAAAACGCAGAAGTACGGACTAGAAAATTTAAGAGTTAGATATTATTCGTTAAGTGGGGGACATACTTACATTCGAAGAAGCACGGAAGTTTCTAAGTGATACAGCTGCGGTTTCTGCCATGAGAGACATGATCTGGGAGCCGAGGGCAGACATTAGCTCGCCAATGCAATAAAAGGCGGCTCTAAAAACATCTTAATACGCTGTACGTATTTCGACAGGAAAGCCACAGAACGCACACTTTCTTGAAATCCATATCAGGCATCTTCATATCACCCACGGTCTTCAACAAACTCTGCATAGTATCAAATAGCGTCCTCGACTCTCCCTTCGAGTACAGCAGCACAAGGCATCGCGCAACGATGTTTCTGAACGGTCTACCCGGACTCGGGTATGGCGCGTTACCTGCTACGACTTTGAGGAGTTTCGTTTCGTAGATTGCTTGAGAGGTCTTGAATGTGTGTGGAGTGCCAGACTTGAGGTCCTTCTCTGTGTCGGCGAGCCATTTGAGGAGGTATATCTCTCCGTCGTCGCCGGCTAGCTTGGACTACGGCGTGTGGTATGCTAAACTGTCTAACGAGTATTGGACGAGAGCACGCACCTCGTCGATGTCGCCTGCCTCACTATTGCCAGAGCTCATAGCCGTCTAATAACGAGAGCGAGCAATCGGTAGGCGTGACCAGCGACGAATGCGAGTGACACGTGTTACAAGCACACAAGCTGACTAATGAATGTGGCGTGGAAATACAGAAATATCCGTCCAATTCTTCCGGTATTTGCAAACAAAAATAAAAAAGAGCTGAAAGGGATTCTGTGTTTATTGAGTGTCATTAATGGGTTCTTTGATTGCATTGACGGACAGCATTGACGCCTTTGGAGATGGCTGCCATAAAGAGGTATGCTTACCCAATCTTTGTGTTAGTCATCCTCAGTGCAAAAGGCCGTCGCTCTGTGTCGAGGAGGCAAGAACCCGCTTGATGTACCCGCCCTTGCAGTCTTTCAATGCGCAGAACGCCCAGCAGCTCGTCGTCACCACCCAGCAGATCAACAACATCCAGTCCACCCAACACATCGTCCCTGCGAAGCGGAAGCGCGCATCCACCGCTGCCCCGGCCGCACACCAACAGCAACACCTCCAGCAGCTCGAGCAGCTCACTCAACAGCAGCAGTTGCAGCAGCAGGTCGTTCAAGTTGCCGGTGCACCGGGGCTCGCTCATCGCTCATACAGCGCATTCAACAACCAATGTCCTCCATCCCTGGCATTTTCTCCTCCAGCAACGACGCCCCAGAGGCCCTCGTCCGTCGGGATCACAACGACAACCACTCCAACTCCGACGCCAGCGACAACGACAACAACAACGACGACGACAAATTCTACTAATCACAATGGCTCTGCAAATGCAAACCCGGCGGCGACTAATGCATCCGGATCTGGCTCGAGCTCAGACGCCATCCACTGTATCTGTGGATACACCGACGACGACGGGTGGTCCATCATGTGCGATGAGTGCCAGCGCTGGTCCCACATGGTCTGCTTCGACATCAGCGTCGGCAAGGATCCAGACGAGTGGCGTTGCTGGGAGTGTCATCCTCGCCCTGTGAACGTCGAACGTGCGCGCGACCGTCAGGCCAGGCGAGTCGCAGCCCAGGCTCGATTGGGACCACTCGTCGGTAGTTCGAGGGCGGAGATGTTAGCAGCAGCACATGCACAAGCAGCGGCAGGAGTTGGGACGAATCAGAGGAGAAGGAGAGATAGACGGACAAGTTTAGCAGTGGCGCCGCCTGCCCCGCCGTTATCTGCTACACAATCTGGTGGAGGAGGGGATGTCGCCCAGGAGGACGAGCACGTTGATATCGAAGACGACTGGCGCACATCGTACGTGCATATAAATGAGGACATCATCCCACAGGCAGCGACTCGCACGAAATTGGGACTCGCAGCGCAGAATTGGAGGGGTGTTACGGCTCTGTCGCCTGACGAGTCATCAGAGACAGATTCGAGGACGAAAGTCGTACCCTTGCCGAATGGAAAAGACGACGTCGCAGCTGCTGTACGTCCACCGAGCTATGCACTGCAGACGACGGCACCGATTGCGAACGATGCGCTTATTGCACCGTTCTCCTCGACGATCATCCCGAGTGCCAAGTACCTTGCAGATCCGCTCAACGCATATGCACAGATGGGTGAGCATCACAAAGAGAAGGAAAAAAAACTGGATTGCCTGTTAACGCTTACATCTAGGTCTGCCAAAACCTCACGTCCATCTCGTCCCTCCACCACTATCCGTCGCACTCGACGCCCGTATGGCAGGCAACGAAACACGCTTCATCCGTTCTGGATGTCGTCCTAACGCTGTTCTACGACCCGTGTTGTGTCCCTCAAAACAGTCTGGTGAAGATAATGATCCTGGTTCAATCAAGTTTGCTGTTTATGCAGTGCGTGATCTCAAGGCTTCCGAGGAAGTTGTACTTGGTTGGGAATGGGATGACGGAGCTGTCGTGCACCAACTACCTGCGCTCATTGAAGAAGGTCTACGCTCAGGAGCTGGGCCAAGTAAAATGACGTGCGTTCACTATTTCACTTCCTCTGCATTTCACTTTTCACCGTTCACTTTTTTCTCTTTTCTCTTAAAATGTTCCATCTGACGACTTTTACTTTTCTTTTTTCGGATCACCGTCACCTTGATATTCTTAGACCTCACCATATCGAACGACTACGCTTACAGATGCAGAGCATAGTCGAGTCTCTCAAGTCTAGCTTCGTGACTTGCGCATGTGGGAGTGCAGCGAGCGACTGTGCTGTTAAACTGATGGAAGCGTTCGCTGAGGGGGAGTTTCCTTGGATGAATGGGTTTCGTGGGTTTCGTCCTCCCTCAACACGGGAGAAGTCCAAGTCGCCAAATCAGAGTCAGGCGACGGCTAACTCTAAATCAGCGCAAATGCAAAACAATGTCAATAACAACGCCCAAGCTCAGGCGGGTACATCAGCATCAGCATCACAACCTCATCATCAATATCACTCCCCATCACCCCCTCAATCACTTCCTCATCAACCTCATCAACAACAACATCAAAACGCCGGACAGTCTAAATCTCCACAACCACTCCCTATCCCAACTCCAACTCTATCGAATCGCCACCCGACGTCGTTTAGCGCTCTACAAGACTTGTCGAGGTACTCGAATGCGAAAGCACGTGCGAGATTATTGGGACCTCTTGTAGGGAAGGAGCGGGGGGTTAGGACGCGTGTTGTGGGTGGTGTTGAGTCTGGTGGGTTGGAAGGTGTGAGACAGGTGCATGGGGATCGGTGGGATCGGTTTGGTGAACTCGATGTCCGGCGGGAGGAGGGGAACGAACAGCAGGCACGAGAGGGACAGGTTGTACCCGAGGTGCGTGTGGAAAATGCTACGCCTGCGAAGAGGAAAGTCGTAGATTTGAAGGGGAAAGGAAAGGAGAAAGAGAGGGTGGTGCGTGGACCAAACGGTGTTGGACTCGGACTAGGTCTCGAGTTGCCAACTGGTTCTGTCCGAACCAGTTCTCCCTTGCGATCGTCTTTTCGTGGTGAAGACAGGGAGGGGGACACAGCAGGGCAGCAAGTGAGGGAGGTGAAAGAGGAACAGATGCCACCGAAGATGCGGAAACGATGGATTCAACAGAAGATGGAGACGTTGAGGAGTGAGAGTGCGGAAGCTCCTCCGACTGGTGGGAGTCCGAGGTCGGATGTCGCTGAACCCGAAGAGGCGACGAATGGGTTAGGACTTGAGGCCACGGCTGTGGATAAGGATGCGATGGAGGTAGATGAAGAGGTCCTTAGACGTGGACAAGACCTTGAGACGCCGAAGATGAAGGATGAGAGGTCGAGGTTGGTGTCGACGCCTCCTCCGCCGAGCTCGACTTCTCGACTACGTACGAATAGCATGGACGTCGATTTAGGTGCGTACCTTATTTATGTCTACCATGATGATATCACACTGTGTTGTTCACCGTGTCATTTCTTGCCAGATGCATACCACGTACCTCCACCAGCAACCTCAGCATCAGCACCTGCAGCTACTCAAACATCACCCAGACCCTCATTACACTCTATTCTCACCGCCCCTCCTCTACTTTCAGCATCAACAACAACAGCAACGTCGGGAATACACCTTCGAGCAACGAGTCAGCCTTACGACCAACCACAGCAGAGTCAGGCAAGGAAAGCATCTTCGTTATTCAGTCTATTAAACGACCACCCTGTCTCGCCTATCCATTCGACGAATAGGTATTTGGCGCAGGTTATGAATCCTGTGTCGATGGATCCTGTACCTTCGCCTTCGCCTACTACTGTGATTTCTATGGCTACGAAGGTTGAGGCTGGGGTTGAGGTGAATGTGAATGTGATGCCGAGGGAGGTGACGCCTGAGGTGAAAGTTGATGTGGAAGAGGAGGTTGTCGAGGATGTGCAACCCGCTCCTGAACTGGTGGAACCTCTTGAGCCTGAGCCTATGGTTGATACTCGGCAGCCTACGCCTGCACCTCCGCTCGAAGTGGAACCGCCGTCGAAAGAGGAACCAGAGCTCGAGCCCGAGGTTGAGGTCGAGGTTGAGGTTCAACCTCAACCTGCACGTTCCTCAACACCAGCGCCTGCACCCTCATCCGAACCCGTTATCGAATCCGTGCCTGTTGTCGAAGAGAGTACAGCTCAGGAAGGTGGTCGTCATGATGAAGATGAAGTAAAGAAGTCGGAATCGAGAAGTCTGACTCCTGAACTTTCATCAGCGTTACCTTCGTCACCCTCCACCCCGGCTGAACCTCAACGTGAGTCAGAAGAGCAGCAGGAACCAGAGCCAGAGCCAGAGTCAGCACGGTCGCTTTCGCCTGTACCTTCACCCCCACCTAGTCATGTACAACCTCCAGCGCCAGCTGCTTCTCAATCCCCAAACCTTCCTACAGAACGTCCTTCCATACCCGAACCCGAACCCGCGCCTCCTCCTTCCAATATTACTACCACTACCACTACTACTAATATTCGACGATCAGTAGAAGTGACTTCCCCAACTGTACCTGTACGTCGACTATCTGAGGCGCTTACGAAGCCGAGGAGTTTCACGAGGAGGCCGAGGTCGCAGGCGTTGTTACCGAGGTCGGAAAGTTCTGGGGAGCTTTCGGAGGTTGAGTCTGAGGAGGAGGCTGAAGGAGAGGTTTCTTCGAGGCTTCCTCAAACGACGACGACCACTGGAGCAGTGAATGAGGATGGTGTCGTGAATCATTCGCGTTCACGATCGAGTTCTCCAGCGGTTAGCGCGTCACTTTCTCCTTCTGGTGCGAAGGAGGAAGTGAAAGAGAAAGAAGCTTCTCCTGAACCAGAGCAAGCACCTGCATCTCCGGAACGCGAAGAGGTTGTAGAGGTTGTTAATGACGAGAGTGTGGATGTGGATGTAGATGTGGATCCGATAATGTTGTTCAAGGAGGAGTTGATGCAGGCTGAGCAAGAAAAGAAGGCGCAGTCCGAGGAGGTTAAAATTGCTTCGGACCCGGGAGTAATGGTGAATGACTCCCCTCACGTGCTGACGAAGGAGCGCTCTCGGTCTACTTCGGCGTCGGCATCAGCTGCAAAGGAGGATCAAGTTCAGCCGGATTTGGAGGATGTGAAAGAGGAGATGGAAGTTGATGTTGAGGTTCAGGTGAATACTGTTGTTGAGGACGCTGTTAAGCCTACAGCGGATGGTGATGTGGACGTTGAGATGTATGATGACGCTTCATCTGCACCTCTTTCTCCAGCGCCGTCTCCATCTCCAGCACCTGCAGAGGAGGTTGTAGAGGAAGTCATGCCTGCTGTGGAAGTGCAGACGCCCTCGTCACCTGCATCACCCACATCGCCAGTGGTGAAGTCTCCTTCTCTTGCTACGGACGAGGCTCTTCCACATTCGCAACCACCATCTCCGAAAATCTGGACGGAGCTGAAACCGGAACCGGATTCGCTAGAAGAGAAGCAGGCGGTTCTGGCGTCGCTTACTTCGACTTTGTTTCCTGAGGCCGCCCCTGCTCCCGTTCCTGTTCCCAACCCTGATCTAGCTACTACTACTGCTTCTGCTACCGCTGCGACATCGACATCGACGGACGAAGCGCGTGTCTCTGCAAGTCCTCAACTACCGTTACTCCGTGCACCTTCTCCAGCTGTTTCTGTTGGTTCTTCGTCTGCTCAGGCAAGGCCGACGCCTCCGCCCTTTGCTAGTACTTCTGATAACGAGCACGAGCATGAACACGAGCATGAACACGGGTCTGGATCCGATACCCACGTTCAAGGTACGGGAGCTGGTGGTGAACGTAGCACGCAGGTTTCCTCTGCGCGGCCTGAACCTCAGAAGGTCATTCGACGTTCGATGGCGGATTATAAACAGAGGAAGAAGAAGCAGAGGGAGGAAGAGGCTGCTGCGAAGGCTAAGTCTTTGGAATTAGCGAGTCCTGTAACACCTGTGTCCCCGTTGCCAATGCAGGAGTTACAGAAGGTGGCTGAGTCGGAGGTGAAGGTTGGTCATGCTGCACCCGAGTTGAGTAAAGTGCAGAATGGGATGGATGCGGAACGGAGTGGGAATGTGGATTTGCGGATGGAGGCGTCTCATAGTCCCGCAGCGAGTACGACCCAGCTCTCGCCTCAAGTGCCTGTGCAACTTCTGGGTGAGGATGCTTCGCGCCAAGACACAGTACCTAAGCGCGAGGCGGTTGAGGACCGCGTCGACTTGTTGCCGAGCCCCGTAACGAGTAGTAAAGAAGAGCGCGGCAAGGCTGGACTGTCATCACCGCACTCCCCGTCAAAAGAGCGCCCAACTACTCCGCAACCAGAAGACGGCGAAATTGCGAACACACCTGCGCCTCCGCCGACTCCACCGTCCAAACCTCGTGGAGAGGCAAAGTCGTCTACAGGCGCGGATTCTTCTGCAACCGCTCCTACGTCGACGTTCTCGAATCCACGAACGGCACGACTTGGTTCGGGTGGGATCGCTCCTCCGACTCAGCCACGATCGTTCCGAGATGGACGCGTCTTGAGTGCGTCACCTCCGCCGAGGTACAACCGCGAGCCGCCTCCTCCTCCTGCACCAGCTGGGAAGTCGAAGATCCCGCCTCCGTGGCCCTCGTCTCGTGACCGGCCCATACCAACCGGAGCTGGGACCGACAGCAGTAGCAGAACACCCACGACGCCGAAAGAAGCAGTACCTTTACCTTTGGACAGGAAGGCAGAGTCTATGTCCCCTGTCCGGCGCGCTTCGTCGTACGTACCTGGTCCACCTCCACCACCTTCGAAGTCAGGTCCGAGCACGACTTCGGGTCCGCCTCCTTCGAGTTCGGCTGCTTCGCCAACGATTGCAGGAGGGGCATCAGGACCGGGTGGGATGAGGGGCCCACCACCTAGTGGACCACGTGCGTTACGAGCAACATCTACAGGGATGAGCACAAGGACACAAGCACCACCACCACCGCCTCCTCGACTACCACTCGCAGAGCGCGTAGAGCGAGATCGGGGGGATCGCGATCGTGAGCGGGAAAGAGATCGAGATTGGGAGGATCGAGAACGGGCTCGAGATAGGGTGCATGACCGGGAGCGGGAAAGTGAGAGAGATAGGAGAGAGAGGGAGAGGGAGAGAGATAGAGTGGATAGAGCGGATAAGTATTCGCCGCCTCCTCCGTTGCCTTCTCGGGGACGAATGGGTCGGGGCCGGTATTGGGCACGTGGAAGGAGATGATGATTGAGAAGAAACTTCGCCGTTCGTTTCGTTATTTTCTTTCATATGAGTTTCTGTGTGTTGGGTTTGTTTGGTTCGTTTTTTCGTTTGTTTGTTTTTTCTTTATTCTTCTTGTTGTTCGTACATGTGTCCGTGTCCGTTTAGGAAGATATGGAGATATGGAGATATATATTTCTGTAACCCCCTTACATGTATTTTTCGTATTCCACATAAATTTACTTTCGTCTTTCGTCTTTCGTCTTCGAATCTTTTCGTCTTACTTTTTGTCTCCTCTTCTTCATCTTTTTTCTGTTTTAAAATTGTTTGTCATTCGTCGTTCGTAACTCATACCCTGACGGTCATTTTTTCTTCTCATTATTTTCTTTCTCTCTTCATTTTTTACTTTTTCTTTACTTTTTCATGTTGTTTTAGCTAAATGGTTATTGACTATCAAATGTTTCATGGTTAGCAGTCCAAGTGTTATGTTGAGAAGGTCATCGACTTTAGAATTGATTTAAATTGATGTATACTTAGAGAATATAAGACAGACAGTGTTTGTTTGTCATGTAAGACCTTGAAGGAGCTGTCCTGACTCGGGTAATAGTTGCCTCCTAATGTGCCTTTTTTTTTCAAAGGTGATGAATGTACAAGCAGAAAAGGCAAGAATGGTGAATCTGAACAGTGGAATTGAAATAGCTGAGCTGACATAATTTACAATTACGTTTAGCTCTCATTCATCAGCACGACTGTTTTTATAACCAACCTGCCACTGTACCACTCTCTCACCGACAATATTCAAGAGCTGTCCTCCTATTGAGTCATACCCTAAACATCTATGTCCAATTTTGATTTTTTTTCATGCAGCAGAATGTCTTGCTCTGCATTGCTATGCTGCAACTCTCTAGCTCATGTTATCTCCTGCCTCGGAGGTCCAACTGACACTTTGTGTAAATGAGCGTCAATCATCCTTCCATTTGATGAGGGTTACACAAAAGGAATCGAAGCATCAGGCATGTGGAGAACTCATGATTGATGCTCTGTTTATGTCCACCTATGAGCAATCGAGGAGCCTGCTTAAAATCAGAGGTCCATCGATTAGCTGGAGGCAGTCGCCATACCTTCCCCATCTTCATGGCCTCTACCTCCACGTCCACGAATTTGGCCTTAACAGGTTCGATTTTTTATTATTTTAAATCTTTTGTTTTACTCGCCATACTGACACTCGTCAGTCATCCGTGCCTCCGACGTGAAGTGGCAGTCTGCCTTTCGGAGCAAACTACCAAATCTGTATGTTCAGATTGAGGTCAACAATGATAGGAGACAAACACAGACTATCAAGAAGGCCCTAGCCCCTGAGTGGAACGAAAGTTTCTCATTCACACAGTATGTAAATTTTTTACTTCATTTAAGTGTCTTTTCACATTGCACAATGTAGTCTATCCATAGGCCAAGGGACAGAGTTTAAACTTCGACTCAAGCACGATTCGTCACGTTGGGGAGACAAATGCTTGGGCAAGGTCGACGTCGAGCTAGATGACTTATTGAACAGGTATGCTGGCGACAAAGGTGCGTAGATCAGTTTGCTATTAAGTTTCTTATACGTTGATTATGAATTCCAGAAGCAGAGCTTCGTCTTAAGTTGCCTAGCGATTCAGCAACGTCGGAGACTGCTGCTGTTCTTCATTTACGCTTAGAGGCTGTGGATGAAATGACAAGCGTTGGCCGCAATGTGGATACCACAAAGCATGTAGTCCAGAAGAACAGTATCTCGAGCTCAGCAGTGGCTTCAGATTCGATTGTTCTTGAAATGGTCAAAGCTGGTGAAGATCATGTTGCTGCATACACTGATTTGTATCAGTCTGTTGGAGAACTCGTCTCGAAGTTGGACATCTTCATTGATATTATTGACAAACTATCCGAGGTAAGATTCACTGGTCACGATAGTCATCTATTATTGATGAGAAGCGCTAGGTTCATCCATACATCAATTTTGCATGGCAGGTTGTGTCGGCACTGTACAAGGTATGCGAAACGGTTGCTAGCTGACATTTCTGACTGTCTTCTTCAGACCATTAGCCAACAGTTCAAGGTCGACAAGAAAGTTGTTGAACTCGTGCATGTCATGGAGGATGCCTTCGATTTCGTTCGCGAAGCGGACTTCCTTCGTAGCGAGACACAATATCTCGAGGCAACCATGATCGAGCTCCTTAAGCAGACCGACGAATGTTGTCTTTTCGTTCAAGAATATGCACGACATTCATTTTCAGGTGTGTCCAATATTCCCATGTCACTCGTAGGAATCTCATTCTGCATAGGACGAATGCTTAAGATAGACATGGATGGAAAAGTTGATGAATTCATACAGTCCTTGCATCTACTCAAGCAATCGATTGGTTCGGGCGCTATGATTTACACAGGTTTTATATCATCCAGGATATCTTCCAAAATTGACAACTTATGTATGTACTCCATCTGTACAATTAAATTATGGATCTCACTTATGTCGACCAGACTTATTGGGCCGGCTACAGCCAGAAAGGATGGATGCATTTAACCGACCTCAATGCCTCCCCGGAACGCGAACGGAAATCGTGAATCAGGTAGTGGAATGGGTATTGTCAGATTCTGACAAGAAGGTGTTTTGGCTACACGGTGTGGCAGGATCTGGCAAGAGCACAGTCAGCACAACCATCGCAGAACACTTCCGTGGCATATCTCGTCTTGGTGCCCATCTGTTTTTTGAACGCGGGAAGAGTGACCCTAGCTCTGTCATACGTACACTCGCTTACAAACTCGCTTCATTTGACTCTTCAGTGGCAAAATCCGTAGTCGGAGCCATTGAGCAAGACGACAGCATCGCTGAGGCCCCTTCAGCAACCCAAATTAAGAGCCTTCTCCTTGGTCCTCTTGCTGCTGCTGCGGGCTCTATGCAAGGACCAGTTGTCATTGTCCTTGATGCTCTAGATGAATGTGGGGAGGAGAGAACAAGGTGCCAGTTGCTGGAGAGCTTGCAGAGAGGACTCCCAGAGCTCCCAAAGAATTTTCGGTTTCTGATCACGAGCAGGAAAGAGCCAGACATTGACCATGCGTTATCTTCACGACCCGACCGCATTCTTGCCGCCGAACTAGAACATGACTCGGTAACCTGTAGGGATGACGTGCTTCAATACCTTGACCAGGCGATGCGCAACGTGTTCGTGCTTAGGAGGTTACCGATTCCAGATAATTGGCAGTCAAGAATGGACGACCTTGCTTCGGCAGCAGCAGGACTGTTCATCTGGGCGTCGACAGCAGTGAAACTAGTAGATTGCGATAATCCGGCCCCGAGGCTAGACAAACTAGTTTCCAAATCGCAGCATCTCTCGGGTCTTGAGCAACTGTATGCCTCGGTGCTTACAAATTCAGGCATTTCGTTCGGCGATGAATCGTCCAAGGCACGCTTCCAAAAAGTCCTCGGCCTTATTCTCCTCAGCAAGACCCAACTTTCTGATAATATTATCGACCTGCTTCTTGGATTTCCGCGCGACGAGCCATCTCACCTTATCCTCTCACATTTACAATCCGTACTTGTGTATATTCCGGGAGCACCTATCCGCTTTTGTCATACGTCCTTCCGCGACTATTTGTTGGCACCAGGGCGCGAGAGTGACGACTGGTTCATTGATCTCGAGTCTCAGAAGAGCTTTGCCGCAATGCGATGTTTCGATATCATGAGGAGCATGCTCCGCTTCAACATCTGCAACATACAGTCATCGTATACCCGTAATGATCAGGATCCCGGCCTTCCAGATCGTATCAAGGCAAACATTCCTCCGTACTTGGAGTATGTGTGTCTCTTCTGGAGCCAACACTTACTCGAGGCTCCATTCTCACTCGCGTTGCTAGACAAGCTATCGGAGTTCCTTAATAAACGTTTGCTCTACTGGCTTGAGGTGATGAGCCTCTTAGGAAAGGTCAACATTGCTAGTCCGGCATTTCTTTATGTCATAAATTGGATCTTGGTGAGTATGTAGATGTACTGTTGGAGCTGAAATTAACGTTGCCCATTCACCAGTTGCATAATCCGGAACTACTGACACTCCTCAGAGATGTGCGCAGACTGATTACACGATTCGCACTACCCATTTCCCAATCAACACCCCATGTATATGCCTCTTTCCTTCTTTTTGCATCAAGGGAGTCGAAATTTATAGCACGTTACTTGAAGCCAGATCTACCTATTGTACAAGTAGAGCAGATTGGTGTAAAGCAGCGGTCGCCGCTCTTGAAGGTGCTCATGGGTCATACAGCCTGGGTCCAATCTGTTATTTTCTCACCCGACGGTACTCATGTTGCCTCCGGCTCCAGTGATGGTATGATTCGAATTTGGGATGCTGAAAGTGGGCGAGTCATTTTCGGCTCATTTGAAGGGCACAAAGGGTACGTAGAGTCTATTGCCTTCTCGCTTGACGGTGTGCGCGTCGTTTCCGGATCCGACGATAAGACAATAAGGATCTGGGACGTTGAGGGCGGGCAGATGACTTCTAGGCTTATGGAAGGACATGATAGTGTGGTCTTGTCAGTTGCATTCTCACCGGGTGGTACGTGTGTTGCCTCTGGATCAGCAGACAAGACTGTCATGGTCTTGGATGTTGAGAGCAGACAGGCCATCAAGCGTTTCGAGGGGCATGCACATATTGTGTTTGATGTTGCATCCTCTCCCGACGGGAAGCGCATCGTCTCTGGTTCAGCTGACAGGACAATTCGAATATGGGAAATTGGGAGTGGGCAGACCGCCTGTAGCCCTCTTGAAGGTCACACGGGCGGTGTCAGGTCAGTCACCTTCTCTCGTGACGGTACACGCATTGCATCAGGCTCTGAGGACAACACGATTCGAATCTGGGACGCCGAGAGTGGTGATTGTATTTCCATGCCTTTTGCAGGACATACCCATTCAGTCACTTCCGTCACTTTCTCGCCCGACGGCAAACGTGTCGTCTCTGGTTCTTGGGACATGACAGTTCGAATATGGGACGTTGAAAGCGGGCAGGTCGTTTCTGGGCCTTTTACAGGGCACACTTTTCTCGTATCGTCCGTTGCATTCTCTCCTGACAGTACCCGCGTTGTCTCAGGCTCCTACGACTCGACGATTCGAATCTGGGACGCGGAAAGCGTACGGGCCGTTTCTGGGGATTTCAAAGGGCATACAGGTGCAGTATGTTGTATTGCTTTTTCGCCTGATGGCAAACGTGTTTTGTCCGGGTCACATGATACTACGATTCGAATTTGGGACACTGAAAGTGGAAACACTGTCTCTGGACCTTTCAAAGGACACTCACGCCGGGTCATTTCTGTCACCTTCTCGCCGGATGGAACGCATGTTGCGTCTGGCTCCGAAGATTGTACGATCCGCGTGTGGGACGCAGAAAGTGGAAATGTCGTTTCCGGTCGTTTCAAAGAGCATATGTCACATGTCAGGTCTGCCTGCTTCTCGCCAGACGGGACACGCGTTGTGTCCGGCTCCGAGGACGCAACACTCCAAATCTGGGATGTCAAAAGCGGACAGACGATTTCCGGTCCCTTCGGAGGGCATACAGGCGATGTTTACTCCGTTGCTTTCTCGCCTGATGGGAGGCATGTTGTCTCTGGTTCCAGCGACAAAACAATTATAGTCTGGGATGTCGAAAGTGGCGGAATCATTGCTGGACCCATGAAAGGACACACAGATGAGGTTCGGTCAGTGGCTTTCTCACCCGACGGCACACGTGTCGTGTCCGGTTCTGGTGACGGAGCCATTTTGATCTGGAATGTTGAGAATGGCCAGGTCGTGGTTGGTCCTTTGGAAGGACATACAAACGGTGTTTGGTCAGTTGCCTTCTCTCCTGATGGAGCACGCATCGTCTCGGATTCTGCTGACTGCACGATCCGAGTCTGGGATTCTGAGAGCGGACAAGCTATCTTTGCACCTTTTGAAAGCCATACGTTATCCGTCTCGTCCGTCGCATTCTCACCGGATGGTAAACGCGTCGCCTCTGGCTCGTATGATCGTACAATCAGAATGTGGAATGTAGAAGGTGTGTTGAGAACTTCCTTGCTCGGCAGTCAATATCTGACACCGTATCCCTGACTTTCTTCTCAATATAGATCCCGTCTTTGACTGGACAATGGACACAGACGGATGGATACATGGACACAAAGGAGAGTTGCTCGTGTGGGTTCCGCCTGACCTGCGGACCACGCTTTGGCGTCCTCAAAATACCGCAGTATTCAGTTGTGCATTCTCGACAAAGTTAGACTTTACGAATGCTGCTCTTGGCGAACAGTGGCAGGAATGCTTCGAACCACCTCAATGATAACACCATCTTGTTTCTCACCCGAAGTGACTTGTCATCACTAGTCTCACAAGACCTTTACTCACTGCTTCTTATAGAGTATAATATAACAAATGTTGCTGTGTACGCTCGAATTAACAACAGCAATCTAACCTTGTAACTTCTATACATTTGGGTGCAATGTATAGTGTATTTGCAGTATTCTGCACCCCACTTTGCCGGACAATAATCTGAACAAAATATATACATATGGCATGGAGAGTTCCGTTGTGCTTAATCAATCAGAAACACTAAGTTGAGAACTAAAAACCTTCCCAGTTTAGTCTGACCAGCTCATCTCATACGCGTCTCTTCTCCAGCTGTATCTGTTGGTTCTTTGTCTGTTCAGACCAGGCTGACACTTCCGCTATTTGCTAATGCTTCTGATACCGAATACAAGCATGAATCTTGATGCCCATATTTAAAGTCGGGGAGCTGGTGGGGAGTGTAGTACACCGGTCTCCTCTGTACAGCCTGAACTGCAAAAGATCCAGTGCTTGATGTGGATTATAAGCAGGGAAAGAAGAAGCGGAGGGAGGAAGAGGCTGTTACAAATCTTGTACTGGCGAGTCCTTTTACACCTGTGTTGCTGCTGCCAGTGGCTAAGTCCTCTGGGACAAAGAAGGCATCTTTGTCGAACACTGCTCAGGTTGTACCAGAGTTGAGTCGAGTGCAGAATAGGGTGGATGCAGAACAGAGTGGGAGTGTAGATACTAGTATACAGATGGAAGTGTCTCATAGACTCTCAGCAAGTACGACCCGGCTCTCACCTCAAGTCCCCTGTACAACTTCTAGATGAGGAGACTTTGCACTATGATACGTAACCGAAGTGCAAGGTAGTCAAGGATAGCATCGACTTATTGCCAAGTCCCATAACAAGTAGCAAAGCACAGCGTTCAGAAGGTAAGGCTGAGCTGTCATCACTACAGTCCTTATTTATTTTATTATTAGCTAAAGAGTGTCCAACCACTCTACAATCAGAAGATAGCAAAATTGTAAACACACATGCACATCTGTTGACCCCACCATCAAAACCTTGTGGAGAGGCAAAGTCTTCAACGAGCACTTTGCATGCCTCTGTGTCTGCCCCAATGTTGATGTTCTCGAATCCACAATCGGCAAGGCTCGGTTCAGGTGGAATCACTCTGTGTTGAGTGTGTCGCCTCTGGCAAGGCACGCTAGCAATCGCGAGCCACTGCCTCCTACACCAACTGGGAAGTCAGATACCAACCTCTGTGGCAGTCGTCTCGTAGCCAGCCCATGCCAACTGGGGCTGGTGCTGATGGTAGTACCAGAATGCTTACATCACAGAAAGTAACTTTGCATTTACCCTTAGACAAGGAGGCAGAATAGCACCAGGACCAGGTGGAATGAGAGGTCCTCCACCGAGTGGAACGCGTGTGTTACGAGCGACGTCTATGGGGATGAGAACGAGGACGTAACATCAACCTCTGCCTTCTCAACTACCATTTGCTGAGCACATAGAGCAGGATTGGTGTGAGCAGGATAGAGATTGAGATTGAGAGAATTGAGAACAACGTCGAGACACAGTGCATGGAAGGCAACGAGAGCGGGAGAGGGATAGAGAGAGAGCGGATAGTTATTTACCGCCTCTGTTGCCTCCTCAGGGACGAACGAGCCGGGCCGGTATTTGGCACGTGGAAGGAGATCGCCGTTCGTTATTTTCGGGAAATGTGTGTATTTAAGATATACGTTCAAGTTCACTTCCTTTATGCAGCACAATGTCTTGCCCTACCATAATACAATGCTACTACAACTCTCCAGCTTACGTGTTGTCTCCTCCCATACATCCGACCGACCTCGAGTGCTGCTTTTGTAAATGAGCGTCAATCATCCTTCCATTCAATGAAGGTTACACAAAAGGAATCGAACATCAGGCATGTGCGGAGCTCATCATGATCGGTGCTCTGTTTATACCCACCTATGAGCAATCGAGGAGCCTGCTTAAAAGCAGAGGTCCATCGATAACCTGGAGGCAGTCACCATACTTTTCCTCCTTCCATGGCCTCCACCTCTACAGCCACGAATTTGGCCTTAACAGGTTCGATCTTTATGTTCGTCTTACTCGCTATACTGATACACTCGCCAGTCATCCGTGCCTCCGACGTGAAGTGGCAGTCTACCTTTCGCAGCAAACTGCCAAATCTGTATGTTGAGATCGAGTTCAACAATAATAGGAGACGAACACCGACTATCAAGGAGACCATAGCCCCTGAATGGAATAAACAATTCTCAATTACACAGTATGCAAACTTTTTACTTCATTTAAGTGTCTTTTTCCCATTGTGCAATACAGTTTATCCACAGGCCAAGGGACGGAGTTGCAATTTCGACTCAAGCACGATTCGTCACGTTGGGGAGACAAATGCTTGGGCAAGGTCGACGTTGAGCTAGATGACCTATTAGACAGGTGTGCTGACGGCAAAGGTGCGTAGACCGATTGCTATCAAGTTTTTACTAAATATAAATGCCAGATGTGGACCTTCGCCTTGACGTGCCTTGTGGCTCGGTGTCGACAGAAATCATTGCGGTCCTCCATCTACGACTAGAGTTCGTCGATTCGATGGCAGGTGGCAGCCTTAACATTGACGCTGCCGAACATGCGATCCAACAGAGTGGAATTTCGACTTCAGCGGCTGCTTCCGAGTCTGGTCCTGTTACGGCTGCCAATGCCACCATCGATCACTTTGCAGGGCACGCCGACCTGTACAAGTCTGTGGGAGCCCTCATCTCAAAACTGGATGTGTTTGTTCGCGCTATGGACACATTATCGCAAGTTGGCCCAATTCGTTTCGTGTATTATCCTAATAGTTGCTAAGAAGAGCTAGATTCACCCGTATGCCAACTTTGCCTGGCAGCTGGTCTCTGCTCTGTACAAGGTGCGTCTAGAAGCGCAGCGTCCGACTCAAAATTGATGTTATCCACAGACCGTCAAGCAGCAGTTTGAAGTTGACAAGAAAGTCGTCGAGCTTGTACACGCTATGAGGGATGCATTTGATTTCGTAGAACAAGCCAGTTCACTCCGAGAAAAGACAAAAAGGTTCAAGACTACGATACTTCAACTGTTGAAACAAACCAACGAGTGCTCTCTCTTTATTCAAGAATACGCACGTCACAAGTTTGCAAGTAAGACCAATCCTCACATGATGGTTACAGTCGCCTTATCGCATGTCAGGGCGTATGACCAGGCTAAACACTGATACGACCGTTGACGGATACATAAAGGCTCTCGAGGCGCTCAGGACATCAATTAATTCAGAAACAATCATGAATATTGCGTTTGTCTCGTCGCGGATCTCTTCAAAAGTCGATGCACTTTGTGCGTATTCTCGTTTCTCGTTTCAGTTTATGCATTCGGCTGAGTCGAAAACACTAGTTCTGAAGGGTCGACTCAATCCGGACGAGGCGAGCACATTTGACCGACCACAATGCCTTCCCGGAACGCGCGAAACTATTCTTCACGAGATCGTGGAGTGGGTAGCATCGGGTTCAGATCAAAATGTGCTTTGGTTGTACGGTGTTGCAGGATGTGGCAAGAGCACAGTCAGCGCGACGATTGCGGAACTCTTCCGCGTCATATCTCGTCTCGGTGCCCATCTTTTCTTTCAACGAGGGAAGAGTGAGCCCAGCTCCGTCATCCGCACACTTGCTTACAAGCTCGCCTCATTTGACTCCTCAATTGCCAATCACGTCATCGAGGCGATTGAGGAAGATAGCGATATTGCTCAGGCTTCAGGGACTGTCCAATTTGAGAAACTTATCAATGTCCCTCTTGTTCATGCTAGAGAGGCCATGCCGGGACCAGTCGTCATTGTCCTCGACGCACTAGATGAATGTGGGACAGAGAAGAGTCGACAAGGCTTACTAGAACTGTTCCGAGAAGGACTGGGCATTCTTCCGAAGAATTTCCGATTTCTCATCACGAGTAGGAAGGAGATGGACATCGATCGAGTGCTGAATTCCCAGCCCGAATGCATTCGCGCTGTTGAGCTGGAACACGATTCGACGACCTGCAAGGACGACGTGCGTTGGTATATAGATCACGAGATGCGTAAGGTATTCACGAAGAATCTGCTGACGATCACGGATGATTGGGAATGGAAAATGGACCGTCTTGGAGATGCGGCTGGTGGATTGTTCGTATGGGCTTCAACTGGGGTGAAATTGGTGGATTGTGTCGACCCGGCAGAGAAACTGAAGGAACTGACAGTAAAGTCAAAAAGCCTGTCTGGACTCGACCAACTATATGGCTCTGTTCTGAAAGGCTCGAACATCCCGTTTGGCGACGAAGTGTCTAAGATCCGATTTTCACAGATTCTCGGTTTGATCCTACTTGGAAAGGTCCCGTTGTCCGACACTACAATCGACAAGCTTCTTGAGTATTCGGATGATAGACCATCACGCCTTATTCTCTCTCGCCTACAATCTGTGTTCGTATACAGTCCTGGAGCTCCCATCCGCTTTTGCCATACTTCCTTCCGCGACTACCTAATAACACCTGGGCACGAACGTGACCCGTGGTTCATCGATGTCGAGTGTCAACAGAAGATGCTTGCTTCGCGATGTTTTGATGTCATGAGGGACATGCTACGGTTCAACATCTGCGACATACAGTCATCGTACATTCCTAACGAGAAGATCCCTGACCTTCCGGATCGTGTCAAGGCGAACATTCCTCCTCACTTGCAGTATGCGTGTCTCTTCTGGAGCCAACACCTATGCGAAGCTCGATTCTCACACACGTTACTAGGCAAGCTGTCAGAGCTTCTCGATGAACATCTACTCTATTGGCTCGAGGTGATGACCCTCTTGAAACAGGTCAACGTCACTGGTCCAGCATTTCATCGTGCCATGAATTGGGTCTCGGTGAGTATGAAGGTGCATTATTAGAGCCGAAACTTATGCTGTCTATTTAGTCTCATGATGCCAACATTCTATCATTCCTCAGAGATGCACGCAGAATGGTCACTCGACTTTCACTACCCATTTCGCAGTCAACGCCTCATATTTATGTATCTGCGCTTCTGTTTGCATCGAGGGAGTCAAAGTTTATAGCACGTTACTTGAAGCCTGATCTATCTATTGTACAAGTAGAGCAGATGGGCAAGAAGCAGCAATCACCACTCTTGAAGGAGCTCACAGGGAATGGGGGAATCCTCTCTGTTGCACTCCCGGCCGATGGTACTCGTGTCGCCTCTGGTTCCTGGGATAATACAGTCCAAATATGGGATGCTGAAAGTGGACGCGTCATTTTTGGCCCATTTGAAGGGCACGAAGAGGACGTACACTCTGTCGCTTTCTCGCCCGACGGCGTGCGCGTTGTTTCCGGATCCCGTGATAAGTCAATAAGGATCTGGGACGTTGAGAGCGGGCAGATGATTCATGGGCCTATGAAAGGACATGATGACGAGGTCCTTTCGGTTGCATTCTCGCCGGATGGTAAGCGTGTCGCCTCTGGATCGGCCGACAAGACTGTCATGGTCTGGTACGTTGAGAGCGGACAGGCCATCAAGCGTTTCAAAGGGCATGAAGACACTGTGCGTTCTGTTGCGTTCTCTCCAGACGGAACTCGCGTTGCCTCTGGTTCAGCAGATGACACTATACGAATATGGGATATCGAGAGTGGACAGACCGTTTGTAGCGCTCTTGAAGGTCATTCAAGCATTGTCACGTCAGTCGCCTTCTCTCATGATGGTACACGCATCGTCTCAGGCTCGTGGGACTACACATTTCGAATCTGGGACGCTGAGAGTGGTGATTGTATTTCCAAGCCTTTTGAAGGACATACGCAGTCTGTGACTTCCGTCGCTTTCTCGCCCGACGGTAAACGCGTCGTCTCTGGTTCGCATGACAAGACAGTTCGAATATGGGATGTTGAAAGTGGGCAGGTCGTTTCCGGGCCTTTTACAGGTCACAGTCACTACGTATCGTCCGTTGCATTCTCTCCCGATGGTACTCGCGTCGTCTCAGGCTCATGGGACAGCACGATCCGAATCTGGGACGCAGAAAGCGTACAGGCTGTTTCTGGAGATTTCGAAGGACATATCGATGGAGTAAATTCAGTTGCATTCTCGCCCAATGGCAAACGTGTCGTGTCTGGATCTGCTGATAGTACGATTCGAATCTGGGACGCCGAAAGTGGACGCATGGTCTTTGGGCCTTTCGAAGGGCACTCATGGGGCGTCAGCTCTGTCGCGTTCTCACCGGATGGAAGACGTGTTGCATCTGGTTCTGGTGATCAGACGATCCGCTTGTGGGACGCTGAAAGTGGAAATGTCGTTTCTGGACCTTTCGAAGGACACGAAGACTGGGTCACGTCTGTCTGCTTCTTGCCAGACGGATCACGCGTTGTGTCTGGCTCCTATGACAAAACGCTTCGAATCTGGGACGTCGAGAGCGGAAAGGCGATTCCCGGTCCTTTCGAAGGGCATACAGACCATGTTTACTCTATTGCCGTCTCTCCCGATGGGAGACGCGTGGTCTCTGGTTCCAAGGATAAGACAATCATAGTCTGGGACGTCGAAAGTGGCGAAATCATTTCCGGGCCCTTGAAAGGACATACAGATGAGGTCCGGTCAGTGGCTTTCTCACCCGACGGCACATGTGTCGCTTCTGGTTCTGGTGACGGAACAATTTTGATCTGGAATGTTGAGAATGGACAGGTTGTATCTGGGCCTTTCGAAGGGCATACAGGTTGTGTTTGGTCGGTTGCCTTCTCTCCCGACGGATCTCGTGTCGTCTCAGGTTCCTTTGACTCAATCCGTGTCTGGGACACAGAGAGTGGACAAGCCGTATTTGCGCCTTTTGAAAGCCATACGTTAGCTGTCTTGTTTATCGCATTCTCGCCGGATGGAAGACGCATCGTCTCTGGCTCCTTTGATTGTGCAATCAGGATGTGGAATGTAGAAGGTGTGACGACAACTTCCTTTTTAATCAGTAGTCAATGTCTGGTGTCCTTCCTCTGACTTTGTTCTCAATACAGATCCCATCTTTGACTGGACAATGGACGTAGATGGATGGATACATGGACGCAATGGAGAGTTACTTGTGTGGATTCCGCTTGATCTGTGGACCGCGCTCTGGCGTCCTCAAAATACTGCAGTGTTCAATTGTGCAATGAAATTGGACTTTTCGAATGCCGCTCTTGGTGAACGGTGGCAGGAATGCTTTGAAGCACCTCAATGATAATGCCATCTCATCCCACATTCGAAGTGACTTGTCATCACTAGTCTCACTCACAAGAACTTTACTCGCTGTTTCTTGTAGAATAGAATAAATATTGCCGTGTAATACGCTCGAATTAAGCACATCAATGCAATTTTGTAGCTTCCATACATTCAGATGCAATGTATGACGTATATCTGCAATATTCTACACCCTATCTACCTTGCTAGACAGTAAAGAGAACAGAATGTATGCATACTGAACACACTTGCATGGGCACTACCGAGGATATTGTCTTACACAGAAACTGAGGCTATCGTGAGGTTTTTCCGTGTTACTTAGCCTCTTTCAAAGAAACCTCAAGTGCATATAGAATACATTGTTCACAAGTATTGTAGTGGAGATAGGAAGAGTGTAATTTCCCTGATGTGGAATAGAGCCTACATATATTCATGCCATCCCGTTTTGCATTTTTTTGCAATCAACGAACTTATGGCATCCCAGTATTATATTCATGATGGTAAGAAACCCTTAATGTGTTAAGTATTACTTGTAGAACCTCTATTTTTGCCATGTTATTATTACAATTGTACCTGTGCAAGTGGACTCACTATCTTGCAAATTAACAGATACATCTGCAGCAAGAACAGTTTTAAGGGTATACCAGTTAGTCCTGGATACACGACATTTGCTGGATTTCAAGTATGCATCTAGTTAAACACCACAAAAGTTGGACCGGGACTGTGTAAAAAAAGCATCTTCTAATAGAAACAGAAAATACGCGGATCGATAACGCCAGCGCGTTTAGCAAAGAAATCATCGCCTTCTTGGATGTGGCGCTGTATTGTCTCACAATACGTTGCAATTGGGTAGTCGAGTTCATGAATATTGTCCCATATCTTCAAAACCTTCCAACGCGAATCCAGCATGGTACATAATGCTTTGGCACATTCACCTAGATCTCCAACGATGGAGTAGTCGCAGAAACGTAGGTCGCATAGGTTGGGGCATACAATTCGGTCGTGTGTATCACGAGTACAACGAGTCCGACCTGTGCTGCTTGGTATGGAAAGAAGCTCGAACAGCTGTGCTGAAATACTGCCAAAGTTGCTTCCGAGTACCTGAAGCTGAGGAAGGAGAGGGAGAATACACAATAACGTAGTTGCATTTGCACAGTTGCCAACGAGCGACAGTTCGACTAACGGAGGTAAGGACCGTTGAACAAAGGCCGAGATATTTCCGCCGCCATTTTCTGCACTGCCATCGCGATACATCTCTGAGTAAGCAAGTCCTTGCAAGTCAGGAAGGGTCAAGTCATCAATTATCGGGCGTGAATGAATCTGAGCTAGTGAGAGGAGCTGGAAATTATGCTGGACGGCGGGACGGTCTTCATCGTTAGCCATATCGTGTTTCTTAGAAGGGTAATCAATCCGGAGCTTCTTCATATTTGGTGCTGCCTCGATTAACCTTCGGCACTGCTGTATTGTTAAACGTCCCCTTAAATCGAGATGAACCTCTCTTGCGGACGGATACATCGTATTATCTCCTATTTCAAGGGTAAAACGGCCGCAGAGATTTAGATACTCAAGTCTCGAAGATTGCGCGAGATCGATGCCTCCATTGTCATCGAATGTTCCGTCTTCTATGGTGTAGAGGCGAAGCGAGGTTAACATTGGCATATCTGTTAACTTTATACCCGTAAAGCTAGGTGATGTTCTGAAGCTCCAGTCAAAGTCGACATTTCCCCAATGCCACTGGTGAGAAAGCAACATTAAGACAACACGTTCGCAAGCTTCACTGTTCTCTGAGAGTGCATCCTTTCCGAGACAACATCTGAGCGAGAAATTGAGTGCTGCCCCGTTAGACCGGCGAAGCCATGCATCGAAAATCTCGATAAACCTTTTCTCTGCGCCCCCGCTGTAGGAGTAGCGCAGGTACGTCCAAAGAACGCCGAGTGACAGAGACGCATTGCGCCATTGCCGGCAAACGCTTGAAATTGTAATGGGTACACGAGGACGTTTTCGTATTTGCGACGGCCGTATTTACTGTAATACACGTCGAGGACACACTGGTGGAAGATGTTGCCGAGCGTTTCTAGTGGGAGGGAGTTGACGCCCATGAAGTACAAGTGCGTTTGCGGATTAGCCTCGTGTGCCGAATGATGATGGCACTTAATTAATATTGACGATTGAAATGAGCCTCTTTATCTGGCTGTCGAGAACGAAGTGTAACTAGTTCCTGGACTGTTGAGGGTGAGAGGAGGAACTCCGCTCCAAACCCTGCTTTCTGTGTGTATTATGTAATCTACGCACTGAGTTGCAACGGGTGCATTTATAATTGTAATGCATTCTTGTGGAATATTGAAAAGCGAACAAAAAGAAATACAGTAGATACCAGTCCATCATCCAGAAATTAAGATGATACATATGTAGATGCAAAAAAAGAAAGAATGCCGACGGAAAATCATCTTCCCATTCTTACTTAAGATTCTTACACCTCGCGACACAGACTACAAGATGGGAGGGCATATGCCTACGATCACCTTTAATCCTCTCGTCTCTCGTCTAAAGTGTATAAGCAGGGGGCAGTCTTTAGTTGATGCATTTCGGACCCAATCAACCGCCCGCCGCTTCTGCCGCCGCCGCTCTCAAGTTGACGAAATCACAGAACGTAGCGGAATTCGCGGTTCTGACGGTCCGTAAGATCGAGGAAGGCCCTGTCAACTTTCTTCTCGATAATTTCACCACCCTCATCCGTGATCTTGACCCAAACGTCATCGTACGTGTCGTCCGGAGGTTCGCGGTCGCGTCTCTTGTTCTCTTTATTAAGCATATAGCGCTGTAGTAGGAGAAGTAGAGCGGCTGTCGTGTAACAAATGGAAATGACTGCCCACGGGACGTGGTAACTATGAATTCACAGAAATCAAGTTGTCGTGAGCAACAAAATACAACGGAGTCAAGAGAAGCAGCCGGCATACCGAGGCGCAAATTGATCTGCCCACATCTGTGGGCCAATGGAATTCCCAACTGAGTCTATGATGAATATTACAGCGTTCATGGTAATGCGTTTGGTGTGTCCCGCCGTAGTCTGCATAACCCATGAATATCCAAGTGGGGTTCCCACCCCACATACGCCAACAATGTACTCGCTTATCAGTAGCCCGACCTTGTTCGACCAGGGAAGCGTGCTAACGAGGATTGATCCGATCACCGAGGGTATATAGTACGAGGCCCCGACGTACGCGATGCTGTTGAAATAAGTCGCGAGAGCCACTCCCGACAGAGCCGAAGCAATCTTAATTCCTCTGGATTTGCATATAGTATCAGAAAGGTGAAGAATTTCTAATTGAAACGGAACCGTACCCAGTAACGCAACTTAACAATGTAGTCTGCAATTCGGTGAACCCGAAAGACTTGATGATGAGGCTGTTCTGGTTTGACAGGGAATTGGGAATATTACGAATTCCAGCGTGAAGAGCAAATATCCATGTCTTTGGGTCGACGAGGCACTCGATCATCCTAAAAACGACGTTGGCTGAGGCAGAAAGTGGGGCGAGCGAAAGTGTGCTCACTGCTCTTTCTTGAAGTGTTTATTCTCAATACCTGCTTGATTGGCTTTGATGCGATTCACAGCTATCACGCGTTCTTCCGGAGTTAGGAACCATGCTGTCGCCGGCGAATCTGGAAAGAAGAGCCTTCACCAATGATACCGGCATAAATCAGGATGGTTTTCAGTGCCACGAAGCAATGCCGTCTCACCAATAGCAGACCGCGATGACAATGGTTATTATTCCGCACATGATCATCAACCATTTCCAAGGCTCAAAGGTCAGCGTCTTGATGTGCAGCGCTCCGAAGGCGAGAAAGCCAATCGTAATGTCCGCAATGCCGATCATCAAGTCTATAGGCTATGTGAGAGACGAGCGTTCGAACACAGACGTCGGGACGTACACCAACAGCCAATACGGAGAGTTATTTCTCTGCGTGTATAGAACATAGCACTGACAATCATAAACCCGGGGGTCAGACATGCTTCACACGCGCCGAGCTGAACGTCAATTTTCAGGATGAAGTCTTTCTGGAAATGGTAAGACTCACGATGAGGCGAACAGCAAAGAGTCCACCGAAGTTTTTGCAGGCTGCATGAAGACATAAAATAACGCCCCAAATGAAAATATTCGCACTTATTTTCAACGATATAGATTAGCTTGGTGGAACAATTTAAGCGCTTCAAAGCCTAACTTACCTCAACCATTTGCCGACAGGGAAACGTTGAAGTGCGAGGTTCTGCGGATATTGGAAGACCAGGTAACTGAGATAGAAAATCGTGCTGAGCCAATTGTATTGTGTTGCGTTTAGATGCGTGCTTGTCTTGAGGCCGAGGACTGCAGAACTGCCCAGCGTAGTCTTATCCATGTAGGTAACCCAATAGACAACTATGGTATACAAGCCGTGGGCCTCAATAGATATCAGGTTCTTGATATGTACATACCACACATAAGAGGGAGAATATGTCTGTCAACTTTACGCCTACAGGTGACGTTAGCTTTTCAGGCGGTATTCAGTATGCTCGTTACGCACCGAACTCTAGCGGCCTCCTCCGGGTCAATCGCGTCCTGGATTGAGAACTGGGCGTTTTCATCGACCTCACTGACATCTGCAGTAGCATGATGGTGTTTATCATCGTCAAAAGCTTCTTTGTCACTTAATGACGAGGTCTTAGTCGAAGATCTCATACTTGGGGGCTGTCAGTTTTTTAACGACGTTGCGCGGTGCACACGTTGATAAAAGGGAGGTCCAGCTGTATAGATTGGTAATGCTCGTAATCATTCAGTCCGTGTAACATGCTGGAACCACTAGTAGCAGGATCCCCGGGTTTGCGGTGCGGACGTAGCGGGAACGCGTCTTTCCTGCAAGGTATTGTCGGCGCATCTAGAATTCGCGGAAGTCTACCACGAAGGCTCCGCAGTGGTTCTGACTCGGACCATCTGACCTATAAAACTTTCTTTCATTCGTCCATGCCGATTATCTGATGCAGGCTTTGCCATCCTGATGGGCGGCACCTTATAGAGTGACAACATTAAACATGTAGCGTGCCGGCCGGATTGCAGCATGAACTTGTGGCCCTCATGTGAGCATTGTTTAGGGCCTAAGATAGCCGGCAGTAGAAGAGGATGGCTGAATGGTTTTCGAGTTCGACTTCTTACCCAATTGCATCATAAGAATGGTTCTGTTTACAGGGCGTAGGCCCTAGAATGGATGGGGTTTTCCATGGATCCATACCGCGGTAAGGAAACTCTCACGGTAACCGTACCGCGGTAAGGATTCCCACGGTTACCGTGGTTTACTGCGTGTCCACCGATGCTGAGGGAAAAAAAATACTCTAACCGAAGACACTCATTTGAACTCATTACTTTGCTACATCTTACTCCAATACATACTCTAAGCCTAAAAAAAATGTCTCAAAGCTATTCTTCTCTATCTCCTACTGGTATCTATACTCAGTTTTATTATAATTGTACTAGAGTTCTGGTTTCTACCCCTAGTGCTTCTTCTCTCACACCATCCATGCTATCAGCACATTAAGCTGAATTTCATAAATGTTCAGCAGAAGCACCAGCCCCAGCAGCTATTCTATTAGCTCCAAAAAGGAAGAGGAAGGCTACTGGTTCAGTGTATGACATGACAGATGAGGAGGTTTAGGATATGAATAATGAGGAAATACTTGGTATGCTTTCTTCCTTTCTTCCTTTCTATCTTTTTTCTTGCTCTGTATTGTAGTTCTTTTATTAGTAATGCAGATTATATTATTCTAAATGTATATGTGTTAATATTGGTCAAATAATAATAACTTCTTATATATTCAGCTCCCTACTGTGTTAAATGGACTTCTCTAGCATATTAGCACTATAACATTTCTGTCAGACATGTTGAGCATAATAGAATGAGGAAAATCTTCTTTATCTTCAATTGTATGTATGGCAGTCCAAACCACCAAGAAATCAAGCATGTATGAATGGGTACAAAGAATAGTACATTACTACTCCTTAATTCTACTATTGCCTGTACTAATTCAAGAGGTCATACAACAAATGCTACCCAACCACCTATTATTTATTCTGAAGCTGCTCATTGTACTCTCATTACTCTTTACTGTGCAAAAAGCAACCAGCCCTTCAATTTTGTGAAGGATTACTATTATGTACTTGAAGTTGTAATACTCTAACCTAGTGTATCTTTACTGAGCCCTAACACTGTTTCAAGCAACATTAAAGCCATTTATACTAGCTTGTCAATTCAAGTAAGGAACTACTTCAAGGTAAGTACAAATATACTTTTTTCCTTCTACATCTAATTAAATACATTTAGAATTGTGTAAGAAATGTGTATCTTACAATTAATGGTTGGACTGTACTAATAAGTACTTCTTATCTTAGAGTTGTAGTTATCTGGTCTGATTCTGGGAAGGTGCATCAAGCAATCCTTGAATTTATTCAGTGAGTATTATTTGATTG